CGTGTTCCCGCCAATCCGTCCGCACACGCAAGGGCATCTCCTCGCAGGTGCTGGACACGGCGACCGCAGCGCGAGGGCAGGGAGGGAATGCAGGGAGGCCGAACAAGGGAAGCCAGGAGCGGCACGTGTCGGCAGGAGGGGATCGAGGGGTGCGTGTCCCGGAAAGGGAAGTGTGGTGGCGAAAAAAGGAATAAAGCTGCTCGTCTGTCACCGGGCGGGGAGGATATTCGCCATGGCTTCTTATTTAACGTCCCCGTCACCGATCCACCCACCCCGTGCCCCCGTCCCCGCCCGCCTCTTCGTCTCCAACCACCACCTCCCCTCCCGCTCGACGACCCCCAGCGACTCCCGACGCGGACGCCCTGCACGCACATGGTCAACATGCCGGACTCGATAGAAACCGCGCAACACTTCATTTTCGTGTAAGTCTCTCCCATCGATAGACGAGACCATTGACCGACTCTGCTCTGGACAGAACGCAAATCCACTTTTGCGGTGAGTCCTTCCGGCAGGCTGCTTGCCATCCCGTCTGATTCAACGCCTCGGGGGCGCCTTCCATCCAGCGATGTGTACGTCAGCTCGCGGGCGTGCAATATATGACATCCACTGACCCGCTTGCAGATGCCGTTGTCCTATGGGACTGGGCCCTAGGTTTACCAAGAGAATGGCGTTTCGTGAGTAGGCAGTCCGCGCCAGATACTCCCAGCTAAAGAGTTGTCCGGTAGATTTGGAAGACCAGTTGGACTCCCGTCAAGATGGCGTACCTTTTTTGCCGGTACGATGCACCTTTGACACGCCGAGCGTCTGCTCCGCTCTAACCATGAATGTAGCTATTGGGTCATTGCAGTTGTTCCGTACCTCTTGTGGGCATTCTGCACGAACCATACGCAAGAAACTTGCGACCGTATATACAAGGTAAGACGTGCAGCACTGAGCGGAAAAAATGGACACTTACGCTTGTGCTAATAGATTCCCGTCGCGCTTGCTATGTGGAACCAAGTTGCCGCTGAGATCATCCTTCTCATTCGAACGTACGCGTTCTTCAATCGCAACATTTACATCCTATCGCTTTTGGTGGCCGCCCTTGCAGGAGTCGTAGCATACCAGCTCTATGTGGATACCTCCCAAATGCTAGGTAAATCGGCTCGTTAGCCATCTGTCATGCTCGTCTAACCAGCTTGAATCGTTTTCAGTTCTCCCCTTCTTGACGCCTCCATACGTATGTGCTATCCATCCTGTCGTCTAAGTACGCTCACACCTTTACGTAGGGGCCATGTCTTCCCATGTCCAAGCCGCATTCGGCACATCTGCTTGGTATGTGCACACGTATTCTCATCTCCTCGCCTGACTGATGTGCGGCTTCAGGGTTCTTTGTGAGTGTCTGCGATTGCTTTAACAGGATCAGCGTATTCATATCGCTTCCCAGATCGCACCGTTGTTGTACGACACTATGGTCACGGTTATGACCGTTGGCAAAGCGATTTCCATTCGTCGGCGGAGCGGTGGCCCCAGCAGCCGACTTATCCAAACATTCCTGCGAGAAGGTAAGCGTGCCGTTGTTTCAATCTCAGGCAATACTTACCTATCGTACAGGTGTTTTCTACTACCTTTTGATCTCTATCGCCAATCTCGTAAGTTGTCGTATGGTTATGAACTAATCTAATCCCTTGTACTGACCTATTCACATAGATCAATGGGATCTTCTACTTACAGTATGTCTTCTTCCAAATGTCTGTGAGAGCTAAACTGACCAGGTGCACTCAGACCGCGACAATCCATCTCCGCGATCTGCATCCCACTGAGTGTTATGCTGGCACCCATCCTTGCATGTCGACTTATTCTAGACCTTAGAGAGCGAGGGTCAGAGACGGTGTCTCATTCAACAGGAACGATCGCGTTCACTGCTGGAGTCACTTCTTCTAAATCTACCCCAGAGTCACCATTCTCGCATATGCATTTCGGCTTCCGGCACAATAGTTCCCGTGCCCTTGTTCGGCCAGGGGGAGTCATGCTTAGTACGATGGGGTCCATCCCCGGAGAGGGGATGGCAAGTGGGCTAGAAATGGATCAGATTGGAAGAAAGAAGGAAAGCGACGCCGAGAGCGGATTCGGCGACGTCGAACTAGGGATCGACAGTGGTGTTAGTGGTATCAGAGTAGATGTCGAGAAGACGACAATGTGACCCCTCGAGGTAGGGAGGGACTTCTTCCTCTTCTTACCTCGACGATGATTCCTGGCGTTTCTTGGTTAGCTGATCTGTGCCCTTTGATGAATCGTCTCGCAATGGAGCAATTGTACTGTTAGTCTGCTACCTTCGCTGAGCAGTAGCCCCCATCTTTCCCTTCCTCACCATGGGTTATTCCCCTCCTCTCGCTTTTGCATTGTCATGTCCGCCTCCTTCATTCATGTCCCTGTCCTTTTCTTTGTATCGTAGTTATTTCTTGCAAGCCTTGGTCTTGATAATCCTTTCGCTTTGGAAATTAGAGTATGGCGCGTGGAGTTCAAATTCAACATTGTTGACCGAACCGCTCGACATTAGGACGCAGGAAGAGAATACGCTGGGAGACTAATAGAATCGGAAGGGCCTACTAAGTACCTTCAACTATCTAATCGAGGTATATTGCCTGCCAAATTGGGCTTATTGTTTGGCAACGGCTTCTGTTCCAAACAAACCGCATCATACCAGTTGGAAGTGTGATCACTGTGATGGGACATCTGAAGAAAGGACTAGAAGCAGGGGCTGCGCCTCCTCCTCCTGTCAACATGCGATAAGTGATTGCATTTCTAACACAGCCTCACAAACGGAGGCTATACGTCATACTTTCCCGCGGCTAATCGGTTGCAGGGAAGGCACATAAGCTCTTATAAAAGCCTTTCACACCGACGGACTCAGAGCTTCAGAAGATATGCATATGCATGTTCATTTGGTCAGTGGATAGCTATGGTATGATGGTACAATGCAATACATGGTGATACAAAACCGAGGGAAGAAAACAAAAACGAAGCGCAAGCAACTCAAGCGCCGAAGCCATAGAGGGTCCTACCGGACCTCTTGAGGGCGTATACAACGTCGAGAGCAGTGACCGTTTTCCTGCGCAACAAATGCGTTAGCATTAAAGAGAGGGACAAGACAGGAGCTTCGGAGATGTACCTCTTGGCGTGTTCGGTGTAAGTGACAGAGTCACGGATGACATTCTCGAGGAAGATCTTGAGGACACCACGAGTCTCCTCGTATATCAAACCAGAAATACGTTTGACACCACCACGACGAGCGAGACGACGAATAGCCTTGAGAATATTTCGAACTCAGTACACGAGTCTACAAGTGACTTACAAAAAAGGAGTCACTTACGGGCTTGGTGATACCCTGAATGTTATCACGAAGAATCTTACGGTGACGCTTGGCACCGCCCTTTCCAAGACCCTATGGTTTCAAAGAACATTCTCAGCCCGATGTCCACAGCGCTGCAGAAATATGGCAACTCTTACCTTGCCACCCTTTCCGCGTCCAGACATGTTGTATAGTAGAGAAGTAGGTTTAGTGTTACGAAGGCGTGTGAAGGTCTCTGATTGACCCGGAGGAGCTTTGCTTAAGGCGGCGCGAAAGAAGAGGGCGAGTGGTGATGGTGGTGGAGGTTGAAAGAACAGAGCCAGCACTGCGTCGCGTTGGCCGCTGTATGTATACACGGACGCGTTTGGTCTTGTTTGGCTCGCACGTGAAACTGCTTGACAGTGTAACATTCCCACGACACGCGTGGCGTCTATGGACGCGTTTGCACACGTCACGCGTCGATCGCGGATGTGGCAGTGTTGGCCACGATCCACGATCCCAAGCCTGGTGTGTGAATCCGAGCCTGGCATTCGCACTCACCTAGCTCGCCCCCCATCTCGCAGGTCTGCGCATACGCCTCTCGTGCAGAAATGTCTATCACACACATCACATCCGTCTCACAGCTCAATAGTATACTATCGAAGTCGAAGGACAAGGTTTCAGTAAGTATCGCGGTGACCCACTTTCCTGGTATCCAGAGTTGACCGGGGATGGTCGCTTTGCCTGACAAAGGTCATTGACTTCCATGCAACATGGTTTGTCCCTTGTTCAGGCTGACATTATCCTCCCGAGATGTTTACGGTAGGACAGGTGTGGGCCATGCCACATGATTGCGCCAGTGTTCGAGGCTCTTGCGAAGCAATATAAGAACGTCAACTTTCTGAAATGCGACGTAGACGCCGCTAAAGATGTTGCAGGCCTCTATGGAGTCTCAGCCATGTATGTACAAACATGCAATATCGTCAAAACGAAGGCGGCAAGATTGATGTGTGTTCATCAGGCCAACATTCATTTTCTTGAAAGGTAGCGCGAAAGTCGACCAAGTCAGAGGCGCAGACCGAACGTATGTCCCAATGTCAAACTCTTCACGCCGAACCCTTCTATCCTAATCCGTCGCATCAGTGCATTGCAAGCTGCTGTGAGCAAGTGGGCTTCACAGTCCGCTGGTACGCCTGCCTTCCAGGGTACCGGTCGAACACTCGCTGGCTCCTCATCTTCGACGCCTGTTGGTCGACAGCCAACGGACCTTGGTGCCGCAGTAGATGGGTTCACTAATCTGAGCCCGCAAGCTAAGGTCTTGGTGTATCTCCTCGGGGCGTATCTTTTGTTTTGGTATCTCAGTTGAATGCCAATCTCATCACCGACATGAGATGCATTGCGCTATATGTCTTAGCTTTGTTTGGCAATGACCTCACACCCAACAGGTTTCAATGGTTGTAGTTGTTAGGCGGATCCCGGACAAACTCCGTGTACATAGCTGAAGCTTGATGACGATTCATACGGCGGATGATTTGGCGAGAGGGGCCTGTTACTTCCTGCTGCAAGACGAGATTGAGCCACTCATTGCTGGCAACATCTTCCTGTGGGGCATTGTAACTTGTTCCGAATTCAATTACTAATGTGGCGAAATCTTATGGATAATGCACAGCAACTCAGAGAAGACAAAAAGAGACCCCAGCGAGGATTGAACTCGCGACCCCACGATACAAGACATTGCAATCGTATGCTCTAACCACTGAGCTACAGGGTCTTGACCACAGAATCTCTACAAAAAACAAGATCAATTGCACCAACGGCGGCACCCTGCTTATCATTCTAAGGAACTTATTTCCATAGCATTTTCCGCAACACATACATTTGATGGGTATTCTAGACTCGATAATTGAATTCAGAACATCATCATGTTGCAGATGAGATTCGTCTTTTGACAATGCCTCAGCGGTGGTTCAGCCAATAAGGACGACGACTTATGACTGCCGCATCCCAATCCGACGCCCATGAGGGACGAGTCCTGCAAAGATGCTGCTTGTCCCCCACCTGCTGAGCACCAGCTTTCAGGCCTCCGTACTAGTCCTGACCACTGCCATGGCATGCCATGGCAAAAGTTGACCAAGATGAAGTGCCCAGCGATCCCCCCGACATTGAAGACGTCGCCTTGAGCCGGCTCAGCTCATCCATCCCCTTAGAGAGAAATGCCGGTGTTTGGCATTTTACATGGCAAAGTCGTTCTGGGGGTCATCGTGCGTCGTAGTTCAACCTACTTGAGGCGTGGCTGACCGTAATGCATACAGGATGAGTTTCAATTGGACAACATAGTTCTTCCCGCTCTCCTTCCGAACCCGAAGCAAAACGCCGTAGGCCGCGTTCACCTGCTCATCCTTCTGGGTCTCGAGCATCCAGTACTCGCCACTCTAGGTCCCCCGGTATAGGTTATCCCTGTCCGACACCAAAGCCCGGGGACACGATTCCATGTCTCTCGACGAGGACACGCATCCTGCTCGCTTATAGCTTATGATTTATCATAGGTTGCTGTCGAAACTCCTTGTTCCTTCGAACCGTCCGGGCGGCTTTGACTTCCAGGCTCTGTGGAGCTTGTTGGAGGTTGAGAGCACCGCTGTATTGTGTTCTAATTTCCGGGCGTGGGCCAGCGGAGTAGCCGCCAGACCATCTACCTCAATGACCTGTCTAAATGATTTGGTCCGAATCTGGCGAGAGTGTGTCGAAGCCCTTCACCTTGTAGGTGTTAGTAATATGTTGACCATAGAGTATGTTCCCCAAGCCGGTGTCCAACAAGAGCAGAAAAAGAGGAACTACCGACGCCTATTCACAAGGCCTTTGAAGGAGGAGGAGGAGGAGATGATACGAGCTATTGCCGCTAAACCAGAATTCGAGAGATTCTCACTCGGTGATAATCAGCTATATCAGGCGGTTTCTTATAATTGGCGCAAGGTGATACAGACATCTTTGTGGATATGATTGGGGAGGGAGGGGAAACAAGGTTCACAGCGGCCACTGATGGCACGCGTTCTGCCGTGGAGGTTCAAATGACTTGGACGATCCAGAAACTGCTCGTGGACCATGCTTACATGATTCCCAATATTCTCAAGCTAGCCATCACCCTTCGCTCACGGTCGCCATCGCCAGTACCACCTTTCGCCTCAAATGATGACAGTGGTGAACCAACCACATCGCAGAATCGTACTCGCAGGCAGAGACCCAGAATCATTGGCAAGAAGAAGGTCGGTGATGGACAATGTTCTGCTCGACAGGTACTTGCAGAGTGCCATGGTTTGGTGGGATGGGAAGCGTGCGCCAAGAGGTGTAGATATTGCTTTCACGAGGAGATGCATGTGCGTACCAGGTCTGGCAATTGAAAATATCAGGCTAATACCATTCGCAGAACCTGTCCGTATGTTAAGGGTTGCGAATGGAGAGCGAAGCAGGCAGGGATGGTCCCAAATATTGCGACTGGATCTGCCTCAAGTTCTCATTGATGAAGTCGGGTTGGATAGTGTCATGCAACACTACTGTACACTACGTAGTGTAAGAGTATGCTGGTTGTACCTATCTTGGTTGGAAGGGGATCTGTAAATTCTGTGCAGTGCCCCAGTACATGGTGGACTCGAATGATGACTGAAATCCGACTGGCTGAGCCGCAAGCTGGCCGTCAGCAAGGCGACATCATCTACGAAACTGCATGCAATAAATAAGAATATATTTATATCATTGTTATACATTGTACTGTATTCCCTGCCGAATCATGATGACGCCTGTCGATAGACTTCGATCCTTCGGACTGCACGACATACTTAGAATCCAGCAACAATGCGGCGTTAATGTCTGGATCATCAATGCGTCAGCATGGTCTGGACCGACGATGTGACAAAGAACTCACAAGGAGGAAGAACGAGCCGTATGCGAGAGCTTGTCGAGAAGTTCTTGTTGACTCAGAACTTCAACGTTGAATCCGTGGTCGCCCAACGCCTTCAACGATTCCACAACCCAATTCTGGCAATTCCACTGCGAGTCCCCGCGTCTCACAGGTACGGATTTCAGGATTTGGTCGAATGTTGACTGTCGATGTCCATCTACAGTGCCAACATTCACCCTACCCATGAACGTTCTGGCTCTCCCCGGCTCTACCTTCACAGGTTCTCTCAAGTGGTATGAGTCGACAGTACCTGCAACCTGATACGCAATGGTGTCGCCATCGGGTGTATGGAGGAGAAAGGACCAGTGCCGTGTTCCGTTGAGTAGCGGGTGTCCGTAGTGCCCTACAGAGAGGGTCATCTTGGGCACCGCTGGCGGGGAGTCATTCTGAGAAGAGCCGGAGAGAATGCTGAAGATACGCCACATTTACACGTCGAGGACCATAGAGGCTGCACTGAGTGTCGTGGGAGAAGCCCAAGATCAGACGTGGAATAGGTACTGTCCTCTTAAGTACTTCAGAAACGAGTACTTGCGGTTATTGCACGGTGGTCACGCGACGCGGAAATGCTTCCGATATTGCAAATTTCAATGGCTTCCGTGTGATAATTGGGTGGACGCTTTACCAAGGTTTCAACGGGTGTCCGTACATGTACAGCGGATCGGGACCTTTAGGCTTTCAACTTTCCTGCAACGACCGGCAACGACGCTCGCAATACCTTGATTTTCCTAAGGGCGCCTTGTAGGCCCAGGAAACATTGAGGCAGTCTCATAGCGATTGCCTATTCACAACTAAGATGGACTCGTTCACCAGCAGGAAAGGATCCTACAGCGAGTCAAAGGCATGTGTCAAAGCTTACGGTGATGTCCACGAGAAAAACTCAACGTCCAATTGTTCCGCTTCCGCGCAACCGAGGTCTGGCCCAGGGCACCGTAATTGACGAAGAAACATTGCATGGTACGGATTGATGATGCAGGGTTCCTCAAAACATTCGTCGACTAGTTCAGGAGTGGAGGTGGATGATTACAACAGTATTATAAAGGTATAGCGTAATGCGATAGGACGGGGTAACTGTCTGATTCCGGTCATGTCAGTAGACAGCTAGGCAGTGATCGGAGGCAACGTACCTTCTATTGAGCGTCGCTTCAGAGGGTCTTTCCAGCCTCTTTCGCGTTTGAGCGAATGAGCGAGTCTTCTACATTTTCCCCGACTGTCCATTTGGCAAATTCCCAAGGAATGAGAGCAGATTCTCCTTCACTAGTCACCAGGCCGTGGGTCTTGGCCCATTCTTGGAGGTAGAGCATAACGGGGCGACTCTGGGCGGGAGGATACATCATGAAGGATTGTGTGAGAAGTGCAGTTTCCATGTCTTCTTCGCTGGGGCTATCGCTGTTGGGAGGGGAAAAGGAAAGGGTGGGGAAACCGACGACTTGACGCGCCAAAGCATCTTCGAGCTGGAACAAGTCCTTGGAGACGATGTCATTCGAAAGCAGCTCGGAGAGGACCTTGCTAGTTGACCCGCGGAGAACTACCAGAAGCAAAGCCGCAACTCGTCCTTGAGAGGCTTGCACGCCGCCGTGAGCACATGAGGCCAGATGGTAGGCAGAGCGTTCTGGGATCCTCTCCGCTGGCAGCACGGCCGTGACTGCCCTGCGCAGAGATATCTTTTCACCGACTTTACCAACGAGCTCCTTAATAGCATCGGCGACATTGTGAGTCGACGCTCGAAGAGGGTCGGTTGCTTGATGAGAAAGGAGGGGCATCTCCTGCAATTCCTCGATCGAAAGTGGGTCAAGGACGTCAACGGGCACGGACTGTTGTTTCTTGTACTCGGTCAGGAAAGCAGCGGTGTGTGTGATATCTGCAAGCAGTTTGCCGAACAACTCGTTCCGTGCCACGAAATCCGTTTCGCAATTCAATTCCACCATGGCACCGCGGACTCCTCCCCTCGCAGGACCTTCACCGCCCAGTGTCCCCCTCGACAGCACCGACACCCCCACCAGCCCTTGCTTGGCCTCTCTCCCTTCCAGCTTAGCCGCCTTCTTGGCCCCCGATATCGCTGCGTCCTTGTCGAGCCATTCTAATGCAGCTTGGACATCATTATTCGTGGCGGTGAGAGCTTCACGCGCTTTTGAGAGCGAGACTTCGGTGAGCTTTCGAAGCTCTGCGACGAGTTTGATCGGGACCTTCTGTTGTTCCGTAGAGTAGAGTCGGATAGCCCTTGGCCTGAGGACCGCGCGACGTTGCGAGGAGAGTCTGAACATGGTGTGTACCAGGTGTGTATTGAGCTGGGTATCTGCTGGCGGACTCGAACGTCGATCATATTTAACTTTTTGATTTGGTAAACGCCCGATCGAGATCTCAGTGCGACTTTCGATTCGTTGTGAAGTTTGTCTGCCCCCTCGTACTCCCATTCTGTTCGGTGTACTCTAAACAATGGAACCCTTGACCACCTTCAAAATGCCCTCAGTGGTACCACAGGATCTCCAACTCATTCAAGAGATGATTGGGGACACCCCTATAGTCCCCCAGCGAAAGACACCGGAACCTATACACATTCCCGACGATGATATCGAGTCTAGCGACAGTGACACTGATAGCGAGCGTGAAGTGGAAGCGAACATCTTCACAGGCGCAGAGGGGGAAGCTGGAGACGACGTTGTTGTGTGCGTACCACTTCAGCCATTGAAATCATGTTTCATCCCATCTAATTCATCTTTCGAAGACCATCGTCGTCGGAGTCCACGAGCTCAGACTCTGACACATCGGACTCTGAGGTGGAAGATGAGGCTCCTCATCCTAAAGCGGGTATCTCTCTGGAC